TTGCGAGCGAATCTTAATTTTTTGACTTTTGTAGGTATATATATATAATAGGTATATACCAACGATGGATTGACCGAGCGTGGCGGGTGCAGCGAGATTATTTAGGTGGCGAAGAATGGTAACAATCGAGCTTTGTAATCGGTCCTCGAAACGATAAAGACTTTGTTAGCCACCCTTCCGGCTTCGCCATTACCCCCCTTGATTTCCACCCCATTTCTCTCTCCCTTTCTCTTTCCGTCGACACACAGTCCGCCTTTCTCTTATTATTCCACCTCTAAAAGGAGGCCCCCAATGGTATCACCTGTTGGCAATTGCACGCCCACGAATTCCTTCCTTGTTTTCTTCCTTTTTTTTTTCTTTTCTTTTTTTTTCTTTTCCGTCTCCTCTCCTGCTCACCACCCACCCCCCTCCTCGAGGCATCTTCCACCCTCTGCGCGCCTCGTCCACCCGCGGCAGCGGCTTTTTTCTCTTTGGACGAAACGATAGAAGTTCGAGCGTGGACGACGGGTAGGTCGACCGCCTTCGCATAAACGCGGTTAATGGGACGAAGATAATGGTGAACGACAATGGCGTACACAAACACGCCATTGTGCCGCTGCTAACCTCGCGGTTTCTCTTTCGATATATTCGCGAATATGGTTTCTCCCGCGTCGACCTCTCCTCGCTTTCGTTTCAAAAAAAAAAAAAAGACTATCCCCACCACCCTGAGTTCTTTAACCCATCGATCCGTTCGAAAATTAACTACCCACGATTCATCCCTGAAGCGCGATCCCAGCCTCGATCGTGCTGCTGCTCTCTTGAACCGAAAGAAAAAAAGGGATCGACGAGGGAGAGGGAGAAAAAGAGAGAAAGAATTTCGAGAAAAAATTCGATCGATCGAATTCCCGAGACTCGTTTTCTTAACTTTTCGACTCGAATTTAATGTAGAAAGAAAAATCTTCGCAAACGCGTCCACTCGCCACGTGGCGATTATTATTAAATGGCAAGTTGCGCGCGTTGAAATCGTGTCGCTCCATTGCTGCTCCATTCTCCAGCCCGGAGAAATCCATCCTCTATCCGCAAATCCAATTATTCACGCGTAATAACGGCACAATGATGATCTCGTGCAAACGTTAACTATTAAAAGAAAGTGAACGAGGAGGGAGAGGTAAGTGAAAAGGGGAAGAGAAAGAGAGAGAGAGAGAGAGAGAGAGAGAGAGAGAGAGAGAGAAGGAGCAAGGAGAGCAGGGAGTGGAGGGGAAGGGGCATTGAAATCGCGCGTTATTCGATAGGTACGTAGCAGAGGCAGCAGGTACATACGTATCCGCTTAAACGAAAGCTCGTCCGGCACAAAAGCAGCGTGCCATCGAGTATCACAAACATTGATTTGAATCACAAAGACCGCCCGCGGTATTCCATTGTCGGGGCTCGACTTATTGTACAGTTTCTCCTCTCCAACTTCCGCCGCCAGCGATCACCCTCTTCCTCTTCCTCTGTCTTTTCCTACCGTTTTCCCGTCTCTCTCTCTCTCTCTCTTCTTCGCTTTTTCCACCTCCTTCCATCTCGATCGGTGACGACCTATCAATCCACTTATCCCGCGCGGTTTACGCGCCACTTGTGGCGTTTCCGCCCGACGAAAATCGCTGAAACCCGAGCTTTTAATCATCGTCGGTGTTTTCCAACTGCCGTTCGAATCATCCATTGTCCACAGGTTGGACGTGGGCCGCTACCACGTTTGTGACGCGATAATTTTCGCGAAATTTGCGGAGACACGCGGCTCTCATTCGCGTCGATCGCGCGATTGTCTTCCCGCAAAATGAGATTGTCAACCGCGTGGCGGCGCGCTTTTGCCCTCCCCCGGCAACCAAATGAGAATTTCGTTGTTCCATCGTCTCTCTCGCGTCTCACTCTCCTCTTTTTTCCTCCTTCCCTTCTCTCGTGTTAATCATGGATGGAACGAGCGATCATCGTCGAGGCCGGTAACGAGTCGAGGAACTTGGCGAGGGAATAATCGATCGTTTCGAATCGAGCTTCTGACGCGAAATACGCGGATCGAAGAAATAGCGGGAGATAATAATACGTTATTTCACCGATTCTTGGATCGAAAGAAAGGTTTAGATATATATATATACATATGTATGTACGAATATAAATTCAGAAATAAGCTTTTCATTTCTTGGAAGTTGTCGGGAACGATCAAGAATGGAAAGTAAAGGTAATAATAATCCACGACCTTTAAAGGTGACGAAACGCAAGTTTTCGCGGGTGGAAGGAGGGGAAAAGCCGGCCGGTTGTCCCGCTAATTAGTCGTAGCTGCAAATCGTAGATTCTACGGCCAGGTATTTGACATAGCTTTATTATTCTCGGGCTCGTTGCGGGGTCCAGGTATACGTACGCCAACTCGGTCAGAATGGCTGGATGGCAATCGACCGACAAACAAAGGGTACCGTTTACGGTCAACTGCCAACTGCCGTATTCTCAACTGCCGAGTTCTCCCTGAACGTTGACCAACAATTAGCAATAAATTCTCGCCCGTTCCTTAATATTCGGCCCCAAGTCGAAGTCGAGGCCGCATTGTCGTCGCATCTCGACCACCACGACTCCCGCCACGAGCCGCGCCGCATACGTACGTAACTTTTGCTCGCGTCATTCGTGCGGTTTTCATTACGCCGCACTGTCGCCGGACCCGTCACGATGCTTCCCTGATTACCCTTTCCCGCTTTGATTTATTGCCCGTTATCCCGCGCCTCCTCGCCCGCCTCGCGGGACAGAAGCGGCCGAGGAGAGTGATTCGTGACGATCTCGCTTACGAGGTGATAACGAGGCGCAAGAGTCAGCCCCGACGATTAGAGAGATCGATCGATTGACTCATTCGGGGGGGACCTTGCACTTCGTTTATCGGCCCTGGTAATCTTATCGAGACGACCTTGTCCGCTTATCGAGACAGCCGCTGTCCGCTCGATCGCGCGACATCGATCGATGGTGATTGCAACGATTTCTGAAATCGAACTCTTTCGATTCCGTCCTCACCACTTGTATCGTGAAATTCTTATTATCCGTCCAAGTTAGAGTAGATTTTTTTTTTTTCCTTCTTCTTTTTTTTCCGTTTTAATTACTAAGGAGGAGGAGGAGGAGAAGAAGGATGGAGCGATGTAAGTAAGTAATCTCGAAAGATTGTCGCGGCGAGGAGTTTCATCGTGTGTTGAGACGACGGATGGTAACGAAGAGAGAAAGGAAAGGAAAAAAGGGGAAAGGGAGGGAAAAAAAGAGAAATAGAGAGAGAGAGAGAGAGAGAGAGGCATGGTGGGATTCGTCGAAATTGAACGAACGACGGTGAACGTTCGAATGGAACTCCATCCGAGCTGCCGTTACTTTCATTGTCGGTGACGCACGCCGGGGTTGCGCTACGATTATCTATGACGCATTCTTCCATTATGCGTTTCGCTCTTTCTCTGCCTTTCTCCCGCCCCGATTCTCCCCGTCTTTGTCTGGCTTTCGTGCCGCGGCAACAGGTCCTACGCATGAGCCGCGCTTAAACGGAGTCGCATCGGCCGATGGAAGGTTCTTTCAGGAACGGAGAGGCATCGTCAGCCTCTTTGTGAATTTCACGAACGAGAGAGATGGTGGACCGAAGAGAGGCCCGAAGGATTCGACGAAGAGAGGAGGAGAAGAGGGGAAAAAAAGAAAGAAGAGAGAAGAGGGAAAGAGGGAAGAGGAGGAGGAGGAGAAAATGGGTCAAGTCGAGCGGATATAATGGGTGATTTGAATACGACGAAGCGCGACGAGGCAAGCTAATGCAATCGGCAAATTAGCTAAAAAGGAGAGATACTTGTTCGATGTACGACTTTCGACTGGTAGTCGAGGGAAAGTCGAGTGTGTTTAAATAATACGAGGACGCGACTTCGATTTACGAATTATCAATTTTGCTCGAACGAAGGAGGAAAGGGAGTAAAGTAAAAAAAGCTCGTCTTGGATCGTCATCATCATCATCGTCGTCGTCGTCGTCGTCATCGCGAAGAGATGACGAACCGATGAACGAATCGACTCGTGTCGTGGCTTTTTTTCGAAAAAAAAAAATAATGAAAAATAAAAAAATAAAAAAATCTCGCAAAGAAAGCGCCGATACGAGAGAAAAAACGCGATAAGATTACGATTGTCTGCGCAGTAAAATATATACTCTTGTTATACACGTGTACAAAGCGGATAGTCGAAGTTATCGAGCGTCTTGTTCCCTTCGCGACTAACACCGCGACGAATCCCGTTGTTGAAACGTTCGCGTCTTCATTTACATTACATGCAACAATTTTGCAAAACTATTACTCTGTCTATATTACTGCTATTACTGCTACCACTACTACCACTATTACTACTACTACTCTGTCCACACGCGAGCTCCACGACTGGCCTCCAATCGAAGAAAACGTGTACGCGTTGTAAGGGTTGTAACCCCTCTCCTCTCTCCTCTAACCCTCCCCCCTCCGAATCGCGAAAATCGAAGTTAGGCCATGGAATTCGAAGGTCAGCGGAGAAATCGCGCGACACGATTCGCGCGCGAAGGCAGGCGCTGCGCGGCGTGTCGTTTCGTCGTGGATCCGTGGTGGATAAAGAAAGAGAAGAACGAAGAGGGGGTGAGAAAGGAGAGACACGCGCTGATCTCGCGCGTGGAGCGTAGGGAAACGACACGAGGCGACTACGAAAGGGAGGAAATTGGCGGAGAGGAGGAGGAGGAGGAGGAGGAGGAGGAGAAGGAGAAGAAGGCAAGCAGGCAGGCAGGCAGGCAGGGTCGGTCCAGCGTTGACGAAGGTTCCATGCGTGTCCGGGGGTGGAAAGGGGTGAGTGGCGGGCAGCGGAAGAACGCGTGGACGACGAAAGACTGGCGACCCGAGGAGAGGAGAGGAGAGGAGAGGAGAGGAGAAAAGGGAGGGAGAGAGAGAGAGAGAGAAGGAGGAAGGATGGTGGTCGAGTCGGGGAAGAAGAGAGAAAGCGAGGGAGAAGCGAGAGGGAGCGAGGATCGGAGGTGGTGGAAGCGAGAGGAGACGATCGGCGTTTGGGACGAGGGCGAGAGGGGTGAAAGCGTCGCCGCGAGAGGTCGTGTCGGGGGGTTGTTGGTGTGACGTCACGGCGTAATGGCGCCGCCTTCGGCGTCGAAGGGAGCCGCGCGATTGGTCGAGAGAAATGATGGCAGGCTTGCGTGCCAATCGATTGCCGTTGGTAGGCTCGGGTCTGGTCCGTCGGTCCGTTGGGTATGGTTGCTGGTAGCAAGACAGGTAGGGTAGCGTGGAGGAGGGGCGGCGAGCGCAGTGCGAGCGAAACAGAGAGAGGGGGACAGCCGCCTCGGCAGGAAGTGAGCCCCGAGAGTGGGACCCCAAGGCGAAATCCACAAATGCTCAGACGGTTCCGTTCTTTCGTGGCGAGTGGAGGTCGCCGCTACTTGTTCGTCTTCTCGTTTTGTCTTTAAGAATTTTACGTTGACAATCGGAGTCGTATCGGGCCACGGCCACGAGTCGGAGAAGGAGGATCACGGATGAAAGAACGTGCGCGACGGTGCACGGAGCAGCACGCGTGTACCATCAGGTGGGACGGCGAGGGGTCGTCGACGACGGGTCGTCATCGTCGCCCTTCCTCCTCTTCTCGACGTTCGCAGAAAAGACAATAGTGCGGCGAGAAAAGTGAAAATTATATTATCCGCATCCACGATAAGTGGAGGATCGGTTATGCGTGTACGACGCGAAGTGACGTGATCGAACTGTTTCCCCGGATCGGGTTCGAATCGTTGCATTCAAGTAGTCGAAGAAACGGAGAGGAAACAACAGCGAGGAGGACCCAACGTATCGTTGCATCGTCGCGATCCCATTCGTCGAGCTTATCGCGAGGCTGCAGCCAGTCACGAACGAGCTCTCGCACGGGTTCGACGGAGTTGAAACGGAGCAAGAGGGAAATATACGTCGAGAAAGAAAAAAGTGTTCGTCAGTTCTCGATCGGACTTTGCCGTGAATCGTGCCGAGATTCGTGCGATTCGTGCGTTCGAATCGCTTGCGATTACGACGCGATTCGAGACGTAGAGTCACGACCCACGAGGAACAGGAGGAGGAGGAGGAGGAGGAGGAGGAGGAGGAGGAGGAGGAGAAGGAGGAAGAGTGCGCGTCCAGGAATGAAATCGCGTTGATATGATGAGGAAAGAAGAGTGTTCGATGTTTGATCATCCACTCGTGGATGCGCAACGTGGATGAGTTTTCACGATTCTCTCAAAAAAGAGAAAGAACAAAATCGGTGATATCGGAGTGAGATCAAGCGGAGAGACAGATTTCCCGTATTCCCGATATAGGAATGTTCGTGCCGTTTATTATTCGTTAAATAAGAATAAGTGCACGGTGATCGTGTGCTCGATTGACTGACGATTGTGTATATATATATATATATATACATATATATATATACATATATATATATATATACATACATACGTATATATATATATATATATATATCGTCTGTGCTTGTTCGACGAAGTGAGTACAACGTGATTAAACGAGGATTTATCGCAAGAAGTGACTCTTTTTTTATATCGATCGCCGGCAAAGACTCTGACGAGATCAACGAACGAGAGGATAGAATTTCGCGTACGCGTTCGCGTTTGTCGCGAACGAAAAAGAAAGTGGAAGAAAAGAGTGTCGGTGCAGTGTCGCCGACTTCTCGGTGGTGCGATACGGAAGATCTGGAAAAAAAAGGGCGAGCAACTTGTTTCTTTCTTCCCCCCCTTCCCTCCCTCCCTCTCTCTCTTTTTTTTTTTGCTTATGATCGAGAAAAGATCGGGAAAATCGATTTCCATGTTGTCATCCTGTCATCGCGAGGAAGGGAAAGGAAGGGTATTGTTATTCCTCGTCGCGTAGCGGGACGACGCGCAACAGCGGACACGCCGCCGACTCGTTTTCCCGGCAAACTTGGTTTAACGGAGGATTCGGGACGAGTAATTAACCGTTGAACCGTGCACACGAGTCCTTCTCGGCGTTTCGTCGAGATTTCTTGACGTCGAGCGGTACAAGTAAACGGCGGCAAACTGTACGGGCACCGGGAAGAAGAAATGCTCACGATGGAGACGGACCTGAAGGGCGGCAGCCTGCACGGTCAAATGCCACCGCACCAAGGTGTATCGCCAATGGGCCATCATACCGGAGTTTCGCCTTACGGCAGCCTCGGCTCCATTGTGCACAGCCCGGCATTGTCCGGAAGCCCACCGAGCACCGGAGGTCTGGGCCTGGGGTTGCCGCACCACCATCAGACCCCGCAACACCATTACGCGTCGATGCAGGCGGCGCAGCAACAGCAACAGCAGCAGCAACAACAGACGATACACTCGTTGGCCCAGCAAAACGCCGGCCAGCAGCAGCAGCAGCACCAACACCACCCGCACCAACCCCCCCAACAACAGTCGCAAACGTCCCACCATCAATCCGCCAACAACAACAACAACACGAGCAAGAACAACAACATCGATCGCGTGAAAAGGCCGATGAACGCGTTCATGGTGTGGTCCCGCGGGCAACGGCGAAAGATGGCCCAGGAGAATCCCAAGATGCACAACTCGGAGATATCGAAACGTTTGGGGGCCGAGTGGAAATTGCTGAGCGAAACGGAGAAGCGCCCCTTCATAGACGAGGCGAAACGATTGCGCGCCGTGCACATGAAGGAGCACCCCGATTACAAATACAGGCCGCGGCGCAAGACAAAAACGTTGCTCAAGAAGGATAAATTCCCCCTCGGTGGGGGGGTGGCGGGCGTTGGCGGGATGCTGGGTGTGGATCAACGGCAAGTCGGCGGTAACGGTGGGCCCCAGCAGACCCAGTTGTCGCGCGACGTGTACCAAATGCCCAACGGTTACATGCCAAACGGATACATGATGCACGACCCAACGGCTGCTTATCAGCAACACGTCGCGTACGGGAGCCACATGGGCGGCGCGGCAGCGGCAGCGGCCGCTTCGGCGGCCGGTTACCCGAGGTACGACATGGGCCACCACATGGGCGGCGGTAGCCCGAGCCCGATAAACAGCTACATGAACGGTTACGGTGGTTACGGGAGCACCACCGTGCCGGGTGGATCGCCCTCACCTTATCATCAAGCCCAGCCGGGATCTCAAATGTCGAGCCACAGTCCGAGCGGTAGTAGCATAAAATCGGAGCCGACGAGTCCCGCGAGCGGTGGGATTCACACACCGACGCCAACGGGCGCGTCGTCGACGGCCGCTGCCGGTGGCCAAATAGTTAAACGGGAATACATGGGGCAACAACAGACCCAACAAACTCAGGGTGATCTCAGGCAAATGATCTCCATGTATTTGCCTCAAGGAGTGGAACAGGGAGTCGTCCAACATGGCGCCGGTGTCTACTCGCCTGGACCATCTCCCGATCCCTTGGCGCAGCATCATACGGCGATTCCACCTCTAACGCACATGTAAGCTCAATTTCTTTCTTTTTTTTTTTTTTTTTATACTTTATTTACCCTGCCCTCCCCCTAATATCTGTTACATTCTGCCTACTCGCGGGTGTACGAGTATCGGCGTCTCGCCGGGCGAAAGAGAAGGATTAAAATTCTCTCCGTTCGTCCGGGAAGGCTTCGAACTCGCATTTCGACTCCCTTTCTACCTTCGAGGGACGGGATAAACATTCGATCGAGTTCGAGCTTCCAACTTCTAACCACGTCCTCGATTTCCGCGCGATTTTGCTTTTCTATCGTGGTTAGTTTAGTCGCGCTAGTAGTTTAGTTTTATCGCGAATTAGCGAACCGGTTTATCCCTCTCTCTTGGTAGATGTAAGCTTGATCGAGCTACGTTCGAGTTTTGATTCGTCGAACGTATTCGCGGGAAAAAATGCTCTTACGCTTTTCTTACGTTTAAAACTCGAACGTTGGCACGATTATATGTCGCACAAACAACACCCTCGATAAAGCAATTCACCACGCTTTCTATACGCAATTCTTGCGCCTTTGCATTTGCATACTAACATTATCGCCACGACATTTCCACTTCTGGACCCTAATGATCAATCCTGAGTACATACGTAACAATTAGCACCGACGTGAGAAAAAGAAAAAAAAAAAAGGAAAAGAAACCCTACCTCCACGCTCCGTGGTTCGAGCGAGCCTAACAGCGACCAGATTTTTACGTAACGAGATAACGAGCCATCCTCGATCCAACGCTCGATCGAGCGAAACGCATGATTTACTCAGTAGCTGTGATTATCATTATCATCGTTCCTTTTCATTTTTATCCAATCTATTTCACGTAAAAAGAGAAATATCTTAGATCTATTAAGCAATTAATCGTTCCTCTTCTATCATCCCTTCTTTCTCTCCAAACGAAGGATTTCGTTCGAACGTGAATTATCGTTATCGTGATAAATTAGAAAAGGCGTTTTCCGTTTTTCTTCTTCTTCTTCTTCTTCTTCTTCTTCTTCTTCTTCTTCTTCTTCTACTTCTACTCGTGTTTCGAATCGGTTGGAAGAGAACTATCGTCTTTTCAATGATTTAAGGTGATCGCCGGTTTTAGATGGAACGCGTAGAAATATCAGGACGCGTTTACCCGATCAACCAGACGATCGACGAGATTAATTCCTCGTAGCTCTAGGTCGTCGCGCGCGAGATTAACGGTATTTGGGAAGATTTACGAGGAAAGTTTTCGACAACGACGGTCGACCGACGTGGTTGGTAAACAGAGAAACTCGTTCGATGTGGCAACCAGCACGATGCAAAGAGAGACTTTGTAACACCTTTGTTTTCCTCTTCGTGGTCGAGGAAACCCTTTTTCTTTTGTGTACATTTATATACCTTCCTTATCTTCTGTTCCAAGATTCCAAGTGTTTCGATCGATCGAAAATTTTCTCTGTTCGTTTCGTTTTCTTTCGATTACGTTATTTCTCTTTCCTTTTTTCTTTCTTTCTTTCTTTCTTTCATTTTCTTTTTCTTTTTCCTTTTCCGTTTCTTTCTTCTATTATTTTCTCGTTTCGATCCGAGTTTCGTGCGTAGGGTCCAGAACGTAGGGAATTTCGAGCGGTTTATACTCAAGATTTATTTCTCGTGAGTACTCAGCCTATCAAGAGATAAATGTTGAGTTTAAACGTGTCGGGTTTCGCGGGTTGAGTCAAGAGAACCTCGTAGGCCGTTCTCCTCTCCCTCCCACCCCCTCTCCGCCCTTCCCTCCTCCTTCCTCCCCCTCGACGTTCACTTCGATCGTCGGCATCGATCGTCGTTGTATCGCTCTTCGATTCTCCTCCTCCACCTCGCGCGTTTTCTTTCGATTCGATTAAGATTTCGTCGTGGAAATGAACGAAATGGTCGATCGAGGATAAATAAATAGAAAAAGATCTTCGCTCGAGTTTTGAACTCACTCTTCCGATCGCATCGAAGAGACGAAGAGAGAACGTGCGGCCACCACGAGACTTTCTTCTGACTCATCCCACGTCCCGATAGAAAATAAATATCCAAAAACTGCAATTAGCAACCTAACATGAAACCAATAACCCCGTAGGATAGCTTAGATTCAGAAGAGAGGACAACGTGCGTAACGTGGGACAACTTTGAAAATATGAAGATGATATTCTAACGAGAGAGCAAGTAAAAAAAGAAAAAAGAAAAAAAACGAAAGAAAGAGAGAGAGAGAGAAGAAGAAGAAGAAGAAGAAAAAAAAATATAAAAAAAGACCGCGAGAATAAGATATTATATTGGGATTAATATCGTTATAATTAAATACGCTGAGAATTCGGGAGACCGTGGGGGCTGAGACGAGATCGTCGTAGATTTCTCGCAATCTTTGGAGAAATGACAAAGGGCGAAAAGAAAAGAAGATAACGAAAAAGAAAGAAAGAAAAAAAAAAAATAACCAAGAGAAATGAAATTAATCGAAAAAAAAAAAAAAAAAAGAAATTCTTTCTTCTCACGATTCACGCGCGATCCGAAGAATTCAATCATCGAGGATTCGAGGAACTCGTGTACTATCTAACGAATTAGATACACGAAAAAAAAAGAGGAAAAAAGGAAGGAACGAATAATCGCGTTCTTGAGCGATCGATATATGATTCACGGAAGAAATTATCATCGTTGGAATCGCGCGCGTCCTCGATCGTACGCCCGAGGACTTCCGGTCGTTTTCTTCCCAAGCTTGCGACGAATCTGCGCTCCTGCGGCCCCCACGCTCTTCTCCGCGCCTCGTCTCGTTTGTAGAGAGCGTTTCTCTATCTTTTTTTTTTTTTTTTTTTTTCTATCGACGCGATGACACAGAGGAGGCACAGATGATGAGTCGTTCGTTGAATCGGACACGGAGACGCGATTTTGGCGAGGGAAGAGGGAGGGTCAAGAAGAAGAGGGGTCCTCGCGGAATAAATTCGAAAAAAAAAGAGATGGAGATGTATCGATGATTCGTCGATGAGCGTTACATCATACACGGGCAAAAGAGCGAAGAACGAGAATGAAAGAGAATGAACGAGAGAGAGAAAGAGAGAGTTAGAAAGAAAGGGAAGCGAGAAGAAACGCGAACTGATTAAACTTCTTACTGTGATAAAGCATGAAAAAAAAGTTGAATGCTGCACAATTTAGCTCGCGTGTAAGAAATAGCAGGGTATAGTCGCCGTGAGGGATTCGATAGAAAGGGGATGATGATGTGAAAAGTAGAGGAAGAGGTATATCTCGGAAAAAAAACATCGAAGCAGGATGAGATAATACAATAAGCGTAACCGTGTGTGTATATAAATATATATATATATATATTTATATATATATACATATTTATATGCGTATATGTATATATATATATATATAAAATGTTATATATACATATATATATATATATATA